ACACCAGGACTGAACCAGGTCTAAACCAGGTCTAAACCAGGTCTAAACCAGGACTGGACCAGGACTGGACCAGGTCTAAACCAGGTCTAAACACCAGGACTGAACCAGGACTAAACCAGGTCTGAACCAGGTCTGAACCAAGACTAAACCAGGACTAAACCAGGTCTAGCCTAGGTCTAAACCAGGTCTAAACCAGGACTGAACCAGGACTGAACCAGGTCTAAACCAGGCCTAAACCATGTCTAAACCAGGACTAAACCAGGTCTACCCTAGGTCTAAACACCAGGACTGAACCAGGACTGAACCAGGTCTAAACCAGGTCTAAACACCAGGACTGAACCAGGACTAAACCAGGTCTAAACCAGGTCTAAACCAGGTCTAAACCAGGTCTAAACCAGGTCTAAACCAGGTCTAAACCAGGTCTAAACCAGGTCTAAACCAGGACTGGACCAGGACTGAACCAGGTCTAAACCAGGTCTAAACACCAGGACTAAACCAGGTCTAAACCAGGTCTAAACCAGGTCTAAACCAGGTCTAAACCAGGTCTAAACCAGGTCTAAACCAGGTCTAAACCAGGTCTAAACCAGGACTAAACCAGGACTAAACCAGGACTAAACCAGGATCAGTTGTACTCACCATCTGTCCTCTTGGTCCGTTTGTTTTTCTGGGCCTTTGTGGAGGTCGGCTCTAGCTCCTCTTCATCAGACACTTCAGCACACGCTAAGAACACACAGAAGGGTCAGCAAGGACTAAACCAGGACTAAACCAGGACTAAACCAGGTCTGAACCAGGTCTGAACCAGGTCTGAACCAGGACTAAACCAGGTCTACCTAGGTCTAAACCAGGTCTAAACCAGGACTGAACCAGGACTAAACCAGGTCTAAACCAGGCCTAAACCAGGCCTAAACCATGTCTAAACCAGGACTAAACCAAACCAGGTCTAAACCAGGTCTAAACCAGGACTGAACCAGGACTAAACCAGGTCTAAACCAGGTCTAAACCAGGACTAAACCAGGTCTAAACCAGGTCTAAACCAGGTCTAAACCAGGACTAAACCAGGACTAAACCAGGTCTAAACCAGGTCTAAACCAGGTCTTAACCAGGACTTAACCAGGTCTAAACCAGGACTAAACCAGGTCTTAACCAGGTCTAAACCAGGTCTAAACCAGGACTAAACCAGGACTAAACCAGGATCAGTTGTACTCACCATCTGTCCTCTTGGTCCGTTTGTTTTTCTGGGCCTTTGTGGAGGTCGGCTCTAGCTCCTCTTCATCAGACACTTCAGCACACGCTAAGAACACACAGAAGGGTCAGGGTCACAAGGTCTGAACCAGGACTAAACCAGGACTAAACCAGGTCTAAACCAGGTCTAAACCAGGTCTAAACCAGGACTGAACCAGGACTAAACCAGGACTGAACCAGGTCTGAATCAAGACTAAACCAGGACTAAACCAGGACTGAACCAGGTCCGAACCAGGACTAAACCAGGACTGAACCAGGACTGAACCAGGACTAAACCAGGTCTACCCTAGGTCTAAACCAGGTCTAGCCTAGGTCTAAACCAGGACTGAACCAGGACTGAACCAGGTCTACCCTAGGTCTAAACACCAGGACTACCCCAGGTCTGAACCAGGTCTAAACCAGGTCTAAACCAGGTCTGAACCAGGTCTAAACCAGGTCTGAACCAGGTCTACCCTAGGTCTAAACCAGGACTAAACCAGGACTTGTCTTTGGTCTGGACTCACATGTGTCAGAAAATACTGAAACGTTGCTGGATAATATAGAGGAGCACGGGCTTCCAGGAGGAGGCTTGTACTCATCACTGGACCAGGCATCTGAAGATGGGCTACTCATCTGCAACATGCAAGATTTACAATTAGAATTCATCTGCATTTTGTTTAATACATTTCAACACATTTGAATTTTACAATAAATTTAAAATGATTTTTGGAAATTACTCCATGAGGTCCTGAATCCAAAACACGTTCTATAAGTAAGTAATATTCATATATAGTGCATTTCACAGACCAAGGGGAAAAAATAAATAAAATAATAATCGCTTGCTCATACAATTTTCATAATTCAGCAATTGATTTTAGAAGGCCTCCATCTTTTTCGAAGTTTCAGAGATCAGAACCACAGACCCACGCACAGACCCAGACCCACAGAACAACGCGCAGACCCGCGCACAGACCCACGCACAGACCCACGCACAGACACAGACCCACGCACAGACCCTCGCACAGACCCAGACCCGCGCACAGACCCAGACCCGCGCATAGACCCAGACACAGACCCATGCGCAGACCCACGCCGCCATCAAACGAACTTACCGCTGAGCACCACGTTTTGTATTTAAAACATTGGATTTGATACGGAGAAGTTACTTTGGCCGGAGTTATTACAATGAAAAGCACTCACTTTACCCACAGAAATAAGACAGAGGTACTTACCGCATCGGCTCTGCTCTCACGCGCCATCTCTCCGGTTCGTCGCCGTGTGCTCCTCGCGTGGTCCTCGTGTGCACGTGAACTCAGACAGAACGTGCACGCGTGGCTCATTGTGCGCTCTCATTGGTTAAGATACACAGTGTTGTGATTGGTTAAATCCACCTGCAAGCTGTTTCTTTCTCCCTCAAAAAATATAGTTTTTTACTTATTCATTTTACAATTACAACATTTCAAAGTTTTCAAATGAAACTTGTTCCTGGTGAACTCGTGTTAAAGCCCTTTCCTGTACTGTGTGTGTTAAAACAACACATTTAAACATGTTTAGTTTTAGGCTGTGATACTAAGTGCACAGGGGGCGGGACCGTAGGCTACTCTGATTGGCTGATCCAGAGTGGGCCATCAAAGAGAAACAATGTTTCAATCTGCAGCTGAAGAATCCAAGGCCTGGACTGAGACCTGAACTGAGACCTGGACTGATAAACTTAGAACGTATGTTCAGGGCTGCAGGAGACACGTGCGCACAGTCAAAAATATAGTCATACAATCAAACAAAAATACAACACAGTAAAAAAGGCTTTTGGCTGGTATCTTAAAGCTATTATTGGTGCATTACATTTGATGAAAAAAATCATCTCAAGCTTCTGTTTGTAACATCAAAAAATCGAAATAATGGAAAAGAGACTAAATCGGAAAATTATATATATATATATATTTTAAAAAAAAATTGTCCACTCACCTTTCACCACGGGCACTATTGTCACCTTTACCCTCCAGGCCCTCTCCAGCTCCTCTCTGAGACCTTGGTATTTCTCAAGCTTTTCATGTTCTTTTTTCCTGATGTTACCATCGCTTGGAATTGCCACGTCCACCACCACGGCTGTCCTCTGCCCTTTGTCCACCACCACTGCGGTCCTCTGTCCACCACCACGGCTGTGCTCTGCCCTTTGCCCACCACCACGGCTGTCCTCTGCCCTTTGTCCACCACCACGGCTGTCCTCTGCCCTTTGTCCACCACCACGGCTGTCCTCTGCCCTTTGTCCACCACCACGGCTGTCCTCTGCCCTTTGTCCACCACCACGGCTGTCCTCTGCCCTTTGTCCACCACCACGGCTGTCCTCTGCCCTTTGTCCACCACCACGGCTGTCCTCTGCCCTTTGTCCACCACCACGGCTGTCCTCTGCCCTTTGTCTACCACCACGATGTCAGGTTGGTTCATTACCGTTCGGTCGGTCTGTATTTGGAAGTCCCACAGGATCTTTGCACGCTCATTCTCCACCACCTTTGGAGGAGTTTCCCACTTAGTCCTTGGGGTTTCCAGCCCATACTCTGCACAGATGTTTCTGTACACTATGCCAGCCACTTGGTTATGGCGTTCCATGTAGGCCTTCCCTGCAGCATCTTGCACCCTGCAGTTATGTGTTGGATCGTCTCAAGTGCCTCTTTGCACAACCGACACCTTGGGTCTTGTCTGGTGTGGTATATCTGGGCCTCTCTGGTGCTCAGGGCCTGTTCCTGTGCAGCCATGATGAGTGCCTCTGTGCTGTCCTGTAGGCCAGCCCTTTCTAGCCATTGGTAGGACTTCTTGAGATCAGCCACTTCTGTTATGCTCCGGTGGTACATGCCGTGTAGGGGCTTGTTCTCCCATGATGGGCTCTCCTCCAGCACCTCCTCATCTCGCCACTGCCTGAGACATTCACTGAGTACGTCATCCGTTTAGGCCTTCTCCATGATGTAGTTATGGAGTTTGGATGTTTCGTCCTGGACAGTGGCTCTCACACTCACTAGTCCTCTGCCTCCTTCTTTACGGCTTACGTACAGTCTCAGGGTGCTGGATTTGGGATGGAACCCGCCATGCATGGTATGGAGCTTTCGAGTTTTAACATACGTGGTCTGAATCTCTTCCTTTGGCCACCTGATTATTCCTGCAGGGTATCTGATCACTGGCAGGGCCGTAGCTGTTAATAGGAGCTGTAAAGCTCCTATTAGTAGCTGTTATATATATATATATATATATATATATATATATATATATATATATATATATATATATATATAGGAGCTGGAGAGGGCCTGGAGGGTAAAGGTGACAGTAGTGCCCGTGGTGATCGGTGCACTCGGGGCAGTGACCCCGAAGCTAGAAGAGTGGTTACAGCGGATCCCCGGAACAACCTCGGACATCTGGGTCCAGAAATGTGCAGTGCTAGGAACAGCAAAGATACTGCGCAGAACCCTCAAGCTCCCAGGCCTCTGGTAGAGGACCCGAGCTTAGAGAGGGATAACCGCCCACGGAGGGCCAGGTGAGTGGACAATTAATATATATATATATAAATAAATATATATATATATATATTCCTAAATAAAACAGCTATAATGTATTCAATTTTAAAATATTGATATATATCTGATAATTGACACAGCCCTAATTACCCGCCCCTGACTCAAAACTGCAGACGAATCACCACAGATTTCAGTCTAGCAATCAAATGAGCCTCCTCCTCTTCAACACAAAACATGGATCATATGAAGTTTCTGAGTGTTTCATAATTCAAATTAGTGAGAGACACAGTTCCTCCAGCTGAGACACAGTCCATCCAGCTGAGAGACACAGTCCATCCAGCTGAGAGACAGTCCATCCAGCTGAGACACAGTCCATCCAGCTGAGACACAGTCCATCCAGCTGAGAGACACAGTCCATCCAGCTGAGAGACACAGTCCATCCAGCTGAGACACAGTCCATCCAGCTGAGACACAGTCCATCCAGCTGAGAGACACAGTCCATCCAGCTGAGAGACACAGTCCATCCAGCTGAGAGACACAGTCCATCCAGCTGAGACACAGTCCATCCAGCTGAGACACAGTCCATCCAGCTGAGACAGTCCATCCAGCTGAGACACAGTCCATCCAGCTGAGACACAGTCCATCCAGCTGAGAGACAGTTCCTCCAGCTGAGACACAGTCCATCCAGCTGAGACACAGTCCATCCGCTGAGACACAGTCCATCCAGCTGAGACACAGTCCATCCAGCTGAGACACAGTCCATCCAGCTGAGAGACAGTTCCTCCAGCTGAGACACAGTCCATCCAGCTGAGACACAGTCCATCCAGCTGAGACACAGTCCATCCAGCTGAGACACAGTCCATCCAGCTGAGACACAGTCCATCCAGCTGAGACACAGTCCATCCAGCTGAGACACAGTCCATCCAGCTGAGACACAGTCCATCCAGCTGAGACACAGTCCATCCAGCTGAGAGACAGTCCATCCAGCTGAGAGACACAGTCCATCCAGCTGAGAGACAGTTCCTCCAGCTGAGACACAGTCCATCCAGCTGAGAGACACAGTCCATCCAGCTGAGAGACACAGTCCATCCAGCTGAGACACAGTCTCAGCCAAATCACACTCTTCTGCAAATCGTCCCAGAGCTCAAGGTGCTGGTCTGATGGAGCCAACAGGACAACATCATCCGCAAACAGCAGAGACGATATCCTGTGGTCCCCAAACCGGACCCCCTCTGGCCCCTTGCTCATGTTCCAAACCGGTCCGTGACTCTGGTTCCAAACCGGCCCCCCTCCGGCCCCCGTGGTCCCCAAACCGGACTTCTCCAACCCCTGGCTGTGCCTAGAAATTCTGTCTATGAAAACAGTGAACAGAACTGGTGACAAAGGGCAGCCCTGGGGGACCCCAACACTGGGAACATATCTGACTTACTGCGGACACAGCTCTGGCTCCAGTCATACAGTGACCGGAAAGCCCTGAGATAAGGACCCTGGACCCCCGTACTCTGGGAGAATCCCCCAAAGGTCACCCCGGGGAATACTGTCGAATACCTTCTCCAAATCCACAAAACACATGTGGACTGAGGCAAACTCCCATGAACCCTCGAGTATCCGATGGAGAGTATAGAGCTGGGCCAGTGTTCCGCGACCGGGACGAAAACCACACTGCTCCTCCTGAATCCGAGATTCGACCATCGGCCGTAGCCTCCTCTCCAGTACCTTGGAGTAGACCTTACCGGGGAGGCTGAGGAGTGTGATCCCACGATAATTGGAACACATCATCCGGTCCCCCTTCTTGTAGAGAGGGACCACACCCCGCCCCCTCCCCCCCGCAGAATAAAAAAAAAAAAGTGATTAAAGTCACCTTCATGGTTATGAGTTAGCGAGTAGCATTAAGGGTCTTGCCCAAGGACCCTCACTGGATGTTGTGTTAATTGCTCCGGCGGGATTGAACCTGGCCTCCCAGGTCCCAGTCTGTGCCCTACCAACTGAGCGATCCAGCTGTTATATAGTATAGATATATATACATATATATATATATACATATTATATATACATATCTATATTATATATATTTAGTGCTGTCCAACGTATTAAAATATTTAATCGCGATTAATTCGCATGAATTTCATGTTAACTCGGCGATTAATCGCAAAATTAGTCACCCATTTGCGTGCTGTGTGCTATTGCTTTTTATGAAAACAATGTGTTGTGTTTATTACACACTAAACCATTTGATGCAAAATATCAATAAATGGATGGACAAAATAAATAATTCGGGTAAACAAAATTGCCCTCAATGTGTGTGTGGGAGTGTGTGTGTTTATGGGTGTGGGTGTGTGTGTGTATGTGTGGGGTATAGACCATAGACTGTATAGAAACATCATGGTGTCATTATGATGATGTATAAACATTTTTTTTTGTAAATTTGTTCATGTATATACTTATGCTGTTTTCTCAGTTTACTTTCGGTCTATATCTAATGACTGTATACTGTTTGCTTGTAGTGCCTTTTTTTATTAAAACCCCTTCACCCCCTTCTCCCACTTCATGTCCCCCCCCTCCTTAAGTGCCCTTCTGGGTTTCTTCTTTGGCCACCTGTCTCTCCAACTACATATTGTTTTAATCTCTGTATACAATGTATCTTAACTAGTCCTTTTCTTTGTTGGCTATTTTTTTTCTGTATTGTGTTTGTCTGCAATAAAAAGTAAAAAAAAAAAAAAAAAATTTTTTTTTTTTTTTTTTTTTAATAATATAAAAAAAATTAATGGCGATAAAAAAAATGACGCGTTAATATTGATTTACGGTTAACGCGTTAATAACGCGATATTTTGGACAGCACTAATATATTGTATATATATATGTGTATATGTATGTATATATATATTATATACACCATATTTATGTATATATACACATATATATATGTTATATACCACCGGTCCACCATGTTATATATGTATTTATATTATTTATACTATACTATATATATGTATATTTATATATATATATAATATATTATATGTATATACCTCACCTCTGGTCTTGAGGCGAGCAGCATCTGTAGTCAGAGTCTTCATTCAGTCCACACAGGAGGAGCTCAGAATAGAGTCGCTTGGCTCCCCATCATGGAGAGGAGACAGCTCAGGTGATGTTTGTTTCTTAAATGTAACTGTGGACAGTAGCGCAGTGTGTACTCTCTGCTATGTTGGGTATGTGTCTCTCTGTCTCTGTGGTGTGTACTCTCTGCTTGTGGTGTGTACTCTCTGCTATGTGGTGTGTATCTCTGCTCTGTGGTGTGTACTCTCTGCTCTGTGGTGTGTACTCTCTGCTCTGTGGTGTGTACTCTCTGCTCTGTGTGTGTACTCTCCTGCTCTGTTTGTATGTACTTCGAGGTCCTGATAGAACCAGGGGAAAGTACGACCACATTAGTCCTGACTAGAACCAGGAAGTTACGACCACATTAGTCCATGGACTAGAACCAGAAGTACGACCACATTAGTCTGACTAGAACCAGGAGTGCGACCACATTAGTCCTGACAGAAGAATAAAAGGAATGAAGGAAGGAAAGGATAGGAAGGAATGGGAGGGAGGAAGGGGTTATGTAGATATGTCTGTGAAATGAGGCTGTGTCTTCACCTTTTTTGAAGCAGCAGAAAAAACCCTCTGGAGGACTGTGTCTGAAGACCAGAGAGACCAGAGAGAGACCAGAGGGTGGGGGGGAAAGAGACCAGAGAGAGAGGACCAGAGAGAGAGACAGAGAGAGAGACCAGAGAGAGAGACCAGGAGAGAGACCAGAGAGGAGAGACCAGAGAGAGAGACCAGAGAGAGACCAGAAGACGAGAGGGAGCCCGAGAGAGACCAGAGAGAGACGAGCCAGAGAGAGGAGACAGAGAGAGTACCAAGAGAGAGAGAGACCAGAGAGGAGAGACCAGCAGAGAGACCAGAGAGAGAGGAGACCAGAGAGAGAGACCGCGTGGTTTAAAGGCCCATTACCTGTGGCGTGTGCAGCAGAGGCTCATGGGAAGTGGAGTGTGAACAGATAGCACTGTCCCCTTTAGGTCTGGCACTAGATCATAAACGGAATCGGGACGGAACGGACAGTAACAATCGATACTTTTCAAATTTTTTTAGACTTAATAAGTCCGTAAGTGGTGACTGGTTAAGTATTTAAGTGTCTGAGTAAGATGGTTAAAGGTTAGGGTTAGGTGGTGTGAGTTAAGATGGTTTAAGGTTAGGTTTAAAGGTGGTCTGAGTAAGAGGTTAAGGTTAGGGTTAAGGTGTCTGGAGTAAGCTAGTTAAGGTTAGGGTAAGGTGTCTGAGTAAGATGGTAAGGTTAGGGTTAAGGTGGTCTGAGTTAAGATGTTTAAGGTTAGGGTTAGGTGGTCTAGTAAGATAGTTAAGGTTAGGAATTCAACTTTTTTGGGGGGTTTAAGGTGGTCTGAGTAAGAGGTTATAGGTTAGGGTTAAGGTGGACTGAGTATTGGTAGTAGTTAAGGTTGGGTTAGGTGGTCTGAGTAAGATGGTTAAGGTTAGGGTGTTAAGGTGGTCTGAGTTTAAGATGGTTAAGGTTAGGGTTTAAGGTAACCATATGGACACAATAACTCAGCTCAGTCCTTTGTGACTTCCTGTTTGTTTCGTTGGAGACGGAAGAAAAAAATCTGACTTTGAATTCTTTGTAATATATAGTTATTATTCAGTCGTCTGGAACCAGGAAGTACCATCATCAGTCCTGGTCTAGGACTGCTGGGACTCTGAGGAGCACAGGGACTGGCCTCCTGCTGGGACTCTGAGGAGCACAGGGACTGGCCTCCTGCTGGGACTCTGAGGAGCACAGGGACTGGCCTCCTGCTGGGACTCTGAGGAGCACAGGGACTTGCCTCCTGCTGGGACTCTGAGGAGCACAGGGACTGGCCTCCTGCTGGGACTCTGAGGAGCACAGGGACTGGCCTCCTGCTGGGACTCTGAGGAGCACAGGGACTGGCCTCCTGCTGGGACTCTGAGGAGCACAGGGACTGGCCTCCTGCTGGGACTCTGAGGAGCACAGGGACTGGCCTCCTGCTGGGACTCTGAGGAGCACAGGGACTGGCCTCCTGCTGGGACTCTGAGGAGCACAGGGACTGGCCTCCTGCTGGGACTCTGAGGAGCACAGGGATTGGCCTCCTGCTGGGACTCTGAGGAGCACAGGGACTGGCCTCCTGCTGGGACTCTGAGGAGCACAGGGACTGGCCTCCTGCTGGGACTCTGAGGAGCACAGGGACTGGCCTCCTGCTGGGACTCTGAGGAGCACAGGGACTGGCCTCCTGCTGGGACTCTGAGGAGCACAGGGACTGGACTCCTGCTGGGACTATGAGGAGCACAGGGACTGGCCTCCTGCTGGGACTCTGAGGAGCACAGGGACTGGCCTCCTGCTGGGACTCTGAGGAGCACAGGGACTGGCCTCCTGCTGGGACTCTGAGGAGCACAGGGACTGGACTCCTGCTGGGACTCTGAGGAGCACAGGGACTGGCCTCCTGCTGGGACTCTGAGGAGCACAGGGACTGGCCTCCTGCTGGGACTCTGAGGAGCACAGGGACTGGCCTCCTGCTGGGACTCTGAGGAGCACAGGGACTGGCCTCCTGCTGGGACTCTGAGGAGCACAGGGACTGGCCTCCTGCTGGGACTCTGAGGAGCACAGGGACTGGCCTCCTGCTGGGACTCTCTGAGGAGCACAGGGACTGGCCTCCTGCTGGGACTCTGAGGAGCACAGGGACTGGCCTCCTGCTGGGACTCTGAGGAGCACAGGGACTGGCCTCCTGCTGGTCCCAGAGTCAGGACTAAACATGGCAAGTCAGTGAGTCAGATTCATGCTAAAATCTGGAACAGTCTTCCTGAAAATGTGAGACAGACTCTGACAATGTTTAAATCCTGGTTTGTGTATGAACCGTGCCATATAAATAACCTTCTCTCACCGTCGCTCTTGGCCTCCTCCATCTTCTTCATGGCCTTCAGCTGCTTCAGCATCCCCCGCAGGTCCGTGATCCCGTATTGAAACGCGATCTTCTCGTAGTCGCAGGGATTGGCCTTTTTCAGGATGTCCCACACGTTCACCTCCTCCTCCTTCTCCTGCTTCTTTTTGGCTCTGGATTAAAAAACAAAAACTCAGAGGATCAGAGTCAGAGCGACGAGGAAGACGAGGAAGATGATCTAAGCACCTTTTCTTCAGGAGAACGCTGAAGTCCAATTCTCCGGCGTCTTCATCGGCTCCTCCTCTGGAAACAACAAGAGAAGAAATGAGTCTACAGCCTCAGTCCTGGGTCTACAGCCTCAGTCCTGGGTCTACGGCCTCAGTCCTGGGTCTACAGCCTCAGTCCTGGGTCTACGGCCTCAGTCCTGGGTCTACAGCCTCAGTCCTGGGTCTACAGCCTCAGTCCTGGGTCTACGGCCTCAGTCCTGGGTCTACAGCCTCAGTCCTGGGTCTACGGCCTCAGTCCTGGGTCTACAGCCTCAGTCCTGGGTCTACGGCCTCAGTCCTGGGTCTACAGCCTCAGTCCTGGGTCTACGGCCTCAGTCCTGGGTCTACAGCCTCAGTCCTGGGTCTACGGCCTCAGTCCTGGGTCTACGGCCTCAGTCCTGGGTCTACAGCCTCAGTCCTGGGTCTACAGCCTCAGTCCTGGGTCTACGGCCTCAGTCCTGGGTCTACGGCCTCAGTCCTGGGTCTACGGCCTCAGTCCTGGGTCTACGGCCTCAGTCCTGGGTCTACGGCCTCAGTCCTGGGTCTACAGCCTCAGTCCTGGGTCTACGGCCTCAGTCCTGGGTCTACGGCCTCAGTCCTGGGTCTACGGCCTCAGTCCTGGGTCTACGGCCTCAGTCCTGGGTCTACGGCCTCAGTCCTGGGTCTACGGCCTCAGTCCTGGGTCTACGGCCTCAGTCCTGGGTCTACGGCCTCAGTCCTGGGTCTACAGCCTCAGTCCTGGGTCTACGGCCTCAGTCCTGGGTCTACAGCCTCAGTCCTGGGTCTACAGCCTCAGTCCTGGGTCTACGGCCTCAGTCCTGGGTCTACAGCCTCAGTCCTGGGTCTACAGCCTCAGTCCTGGGTCTACGGCCTCAGTCCTGGGTCTACAGCCTCAGTCCTGGGTCTACAGCCTCAGTTCTGGGTCTACGGCCTCAGTCCTCGTCCAGTGGACCCAGAGTCCACTCTGGGTCCACTGGACTCTGGGTCCCGAGTGGACCCAGAGTCCACTCGGGACCCGCTGTAATTGCATAATGTAAATGAGTTCCTGTTACCACTGTCTACATGCGTTTTACAGCTTTGCTTTTGGCGGCGATCACTCGACAATGAGCGCATGACCGCCCCCCGGTGGGCAGGCCGGGCTCGGGTTTCGGCCTGGGACGGGGGGGGCGGGCTCGGGTTTCGGCCTGGGACTGGGCCGGCTGTTGGCACTCACTTCGTTGGGGATGAAGCGGAGGAAAGACGAGGAGGTGTTGCTCAGACGACACCGCTCTGGTATGTCACTACTGCGTCTCAATCGGAGGGACACGTCGGCCCGAGGGATCATGGGACGTTAATGACGGCTCATCAGAGTTCTGGCGGCGGCCCGGGATGGCGTTTATGTCATCGGGTCATTAAGGATGGACCGGGTTATTCCTGTAACAGGCTGGACGGTCCGGAAGGGTTCGGTCCAAAACAGTTTATTTATGTTCCTCAATATCATCACAGATCAGAGAGTCCTGGGTCTACAGCCTCAGCCTCAGTCCTGGGTCTACAGCCTCAGTCCTGGGTCTACAGCCTCAGTCCTGGGTCTACAGCCTCAGTCCTGGGTCTACAGCCTCAGTCCTGGGTCTACAGCCTCAGTCCTGGGTCTACAGCCTCAGTCCTGGGTCTACAGCCTCAGTCCTGGGTCTACAGCCTCAGTCCTGGGTCTACAGCCTCAGTCCTGGGTCTACAGCCTCAGTCCTGGGTCTACAGCCTCAGTCCTGGGTCTACAGCCTTAAGTAAGTAATGTTTATTTATATAGCGCCTTTCACAGACCAGAGTCTCAAAGCGGTTTACAATTGTTATTTTTGGGCACTTGTCTCTGACTCCACACAGAAGTTTCGTCAATGTATTTAGCTTCATTACAGATCCTAAACTGTTTACACTAAAACTACAACTTAAAATTATTATTTTTTGTTTTTTATTATAATTATTATGAATTTTTTTCCCCATCAGCGAGTTGGGGAATTTCAATCCCCAACTCAATTTCAATGAGTGTTTCAATCAAGTTGCCTTCACCGTGACTCAGGAGGAAGTCAGGCGTGTCTTGTCCAGGACCACAGTCCGGAAAGCCCCAGGCCCGGACGGCATCCCTCCTCGTGTCCTGAAACTGTGCTCTGAGCAACTTGCCCCTGTGCTAACAGACATTTTCAACCTGTCGCTAAGGAACTGTACTGTGCCGAACTGCTTTAAAGAGTCGAACATTATCCCAGTTCCTAAGAAAACTCCTGTGACATGCCTGAATGACTACCGCCCTGTGGCCCTCACGTCTGTTCTTATGAAGACTTTTGAGCGGCTCGTGCTGGACTTCATTAAGAGCCAGAACCCTGTGAGTGTTGACCCGCTCCAGTTTGCTACAGACAGAACAGGAGTGTGGAGGATCCATCTCCTTTGCTCTGAACTCTGTCTACAGTCACTTGGACACTAGTAAATCTGTCGCGAGAATGCTTTTCATCGATTATAGCTCTGCTTTTAACTGCCTTGTCCCAGGTAAACTGATTGAAAAGCTCATGTCTCTGGGTTTAAGTGTTGCCATGTGTAAATGGATTTTTATCTTTTTAACTGACAGATCTCAGAGAGTGTTTTTCTGATGTTGTTTCTGTGAGCACTGGTTCTCCTCAGGGATGTATTTTGAGTCCTTTGCTTTTTACTTTGTACACTCACGATTGTGTGTCCTCCTCTGACTCAAACTTGATCATCAAATATGCTGATGACACCACCATCATCGGTCTCATCAGTGACACTGATGAATCCTCTTATAGAGCAGAGATACAAAATGTGGTTCAGTGGAGTCAAACTAACAACCTCCAGTTGAACGCATCCAAAACATGTGAACTGGTCACGACTTCAGTCGCAATAGTTCTCATTTGTCTGTCGTAATCGACAACTCCCAGGTGCAGATCGTAGAGGAGCAAGTTTCTGGGTTTAACTCTGTCTAACCTGAAATGGGTTAAAAACAGTGACCGAGTCGTTAAGAAAGCTCGTCAGCGTCTCTACTTTCTGCGTAAACTTAGAGAATTTACCACTAACTCTAAGATTGTGCTTAACTTTTATGGCTGCACCATTGAGAGTTTACTTGTTGGTTCTGTGTCTGTGTGGTTTGGAAACATCACAGATAAAGAAAAGAGAGCTTTAAACAAGGTGCTCCGCTCTGCAAAGAGGACCGTGGGCTGTGAGCTTCCTGTTCTGGAGGCTCTTTATAAATCCAGACTTTTAAACAAAGCTCTTAGGATTGTTAATGACTCTTCTGGCCACCCTGGGAAAGCCATGTTCCAGCTTCTTCCCTCTGGCAGAAGATATCGCTCTCTGAGATGCAGGACATCTCGTTACGCGAACAGTTTTTATCCACAGGCTGTTATCAGTGTGAACAGAGCACTTTAATGATTTGCACTTGTTTTGAAACTGTTTTAGTCGATCCATTTCACAGTGACATTTGTTTACTGTTTTATTTGTTTTATTTTTGTCTTTTAATGTTGTTTTATGTCTGTATTTGTCTGTGCACACTGGAGACTTTTGCTAATGTATTCCAATGTGGTTTTACTGCAAATGGCAAATAAACTGAATCTGAATCTGAATCAGCCTCAGCCTCAGACCGGTCCTCAGCCTCAGACCGGTTCTCGGCCTCAGCCTCAGACCGGTCCTCAGCCTCAGACCGGTTCTCGGCCTCAACCTCAGACCGGTTCTCGACCTCAGCCTCAGACCGGGCCTCAGCCTCAGACCGGGCCTCAGCTTCAGACCAGTCCTCGGCTTCAGACCAGTCCTCGGCCTCAGCCTCAGACCGGGCCTCAGCCCCAGACCGGGCCTCAGCCTCAAACCGGGCCTCAGCCCCAGACCGGGCCTCAGCCCCAGACCGGGCCTCAGCCTCAGACCGGGCCTCAGCCTCAGCCTCAGACCGGTCCTCAGCCTCAGACCGGTTTCTCGGCCTCAACCTCAGACCGGTTCTCGACCTCAGCCTCAGACCGGGCCTCAGCCTCAGACCGGGCCTCAGCTTCAGACCAGTCCTCGGCTTCAGACCAGTCCTCGGCCTCAGCCTCAGACCGGGCCTCAGCCCCAGACCGGGCCTCAGCCCCAGACCGGGCCTCAGCCTCAAACCGGGCCTCAGCCCCAGACCGGGCCTCAGCCCCAGACCGGGCCTCAGCCCCAGACCGGGCCTCAGCCTCAGACCGGGCCTCAGCCTCAGACCGGTCCTGGCCTCAGCCTCAGACCGGGCCTCAGCCTCAGACCAGTCCTCAGCCTCAGACCAGTCCTCGGCCTCAGCCCCAGACCGGGCCTCAGCCCCAGACCGGGCCTCAGCCCCAGACCGGGCCTCAGCCTCAGACCGGTCCTGGCCTCAGACCAGTCCTCGGCCTCAGCCCCAGACCGGGCCTCAGCCTCAGACCGGGCCTCAGCCTCAGACCGGGCCTCAGCCTCAGACCAGTCCTCAGCCTCAGACCAGTCCTCGGCCTCAGCCCCAGACCGGGCCTCAGCCCCAGACCGGGCCTCAGCCCCAGACCGGGCCTCAGCCCCAGACCGGGCCTCAGCCTCAGACCAGTCCTCAGCCTCAGACCAGTCCTCGGCCTCAGCCCCAGACCGGGCCTCAGCCCCAGACCGGGCCTCAGCCCCAGACCGGGCCTCAGCCTCAGACCGGGCCTCAGCTTCAGACCAGTCCTCGGCTTCAGACCAGTCCTCGGCCTCAGCCTCAGACCGGGCCTCAGCCCCAGACCGGGCCTCAGCCCCAGACCGGGCCTCAGCCTCAAACCGGGCCTCAGCCCCAGACCGGGCCTCAGCCCCAGACCGGGCCTCAGCCTCAGACCGGGCCTCAGCCTCAGCCTCAGACCGGTCCTCAGCCTCAGACCGGTTCTCGGCCTCAACCTCAGACCGGTTCTCGACCTCAGCCTCAGACCGGGCCTCAGCCTCAGACCGGGCCTCAGCTTCAGACCAGTCCTCGGCTTCAGACCAGTCCTCGGCCTCAGCCTCAGACCGGGCCTCAGCCCCAGACCGGGCCTCAGCCCCAGACCGGGCCTCAGCCCCAGACCGGGCCTCAGCCCCAGACCGGGCCTCAGCCCCAGACCGGGCCTCAGCCCCAGACCGGGCCTCAGCCTCAGACCGGGCCTCAGCCTCAGACCGGTCCTGGCCTCAGCCTCAGACCGGGCCTCAGCCTCAGACCAGTCCTCAGCCTCAGACCAGTCCTCGGCCTCAGCCCCAGACCGGGCCTCAGCCCCAGACCGGGCCTCAGCCCCAGACCGGGCCTCAGCCTCAGACCGGTCCTGGCCTCAGACCAGTCCTCGGCCTCAGCCCCAGACCGGGCCTCAGCCTCAGACCGGGCCTCAGCCTCAGACCGGGCCTCAGCCTCAGACCAGTCCTCAGCCTCAGACCAGTCCTCGGCCTCAGCCCCAGACCGGGCCTCAGCCCCAGACCGGGCCTCAGCCCCAGACCGGGCCTCAGCCCCAGACCGGGCCTCAGCCCCAGACCGGGCCTCAGCCTCAGACCAGTCCTCGGCCTCAGCCCCAGACCGGGCCTCAGCCCCAGACCGGGCCTCAGCCCCAGACCGGGCCTCAGCCTCAGACCGGGCCTCAGCCTCAGCACCCGTCACTCTTCTTTTGAAATAACAAAGCACTTCTTTAGCACTTTTTCCCTCCATCTTGCACATTGCTGACTTTTCCGTCTAATAAAAACATGGGCTATAAATAAAAATAATAATAAAATGATCTGTAAAGAACCTGCTGTCTCCGACCTGTCACGAGGCCTTCATCTCCGTCTGCTCAGGCTGAAATATGCAAACTATATCATATTTTTAACCAGAGTAAAACCACACACAGCGTTTACGGAGACAGAGCGACGGGAGAAGACGGTGAAGCAGTGAAAACAAGGAGAGGAGCTAAAACCGGAGCCAGAACCAAGACCAGGAGGATTTAAAGAGACATGGACACCGGACAGAAGAGTCTGAGAGCGAGGTCTGGACGCCACACTCACGATCGTTTGAAGGCTTCCAAAATGTTGTCCTGCTGATCCTCCTCGACAGCTGCGAAGGAGACGGAGGTCAGAAACACGGAGATGTGAAGAGAGAGACCAGAGAGAGAGACCAGAGAGAGACCAGAGAGAGAGACCAGAGAGAGACCAGAGAGAGACCAGAGAGAGACCAGAGAGAGACCAGAGAGAGAGACCAGAGAGAGACCAGAGAGAGACCAGAGAGAGACCAGAGAGAGAGACCAGAGAGAGACCAGAGAGAGACCAGAGAGAGACCAGAGAGAGAGACCAGAGAGAGACCAGAGAGAGAGACCAGAGAGAGACCAGAGAGAGAGACCAGAGAGAGACCAGAGAGAGAGACCAGAGAGAGACCAGAGAGAGACCAGAGAGAGACCAGAGAGAGAGACCAGAGAGAGACCAGAGAGAGACCAGAGAGAGACCAGAGAGAGACCAGAGAAAAACCAGAGAGAGAGACCAGAGAGAGACCAGAGAGAGAGACCAGAGAGAGACCAGAGAGAGAGACTTCCCACATGGAAAAAAATGGAAAATTCAAGTGGAAAACTCGGCCTGGTCCATGGTCCTTGAGTTAATTGGA